GATAATACAGTTAATTAAACTCACTATACTGAATTGCGTCTTCCCCGCACTCGCGCGAAGCTTACCTCTGTATTTCTAGTCGTTTATGGTACATCGATCTCTCCGATGTATCATGCGAGCTGTAAGGATAATTGAAGAGAACAAGCAATTGCTTGTCGTCTTCAGTTGTTTGGTGCGCTGCTCAAGTCGGATCGGCTGTGCCAGCGAAAACAGGACATTGCAGTTCAAGGCATTCAGGAACTTTCGTACCAAATAATGCCATCGGTATACATCGTGAAACAATTGTCAGAGACCCTCAAAATATATGAATACGTATGGCGGCTTGGTGACGTCACGCGCGGATCAATCGTACATCACATATGTCTATGGCTGCGAGGGGAGAAAAAGGATGATAGTGACAACCAGGGGAAAGAATCAACGAACTTTGTTTTCTCGAGAAGTTTTTTCACATAGGATATGAAGCCGCCCATGAAGGTCGATGTAAATGCAAAAATCCTTAATTGGTCAGCTTCACATCAATGTGATTGAATCGTTTTCACTATGTCGACATTTTCAAATGATCCGAACAATTTTATTTTACCCATTAATTTTTATTTTTTCAATGCTGCAATGAGTTCCTGTTTATACGAGACGGTCTTCCCTTGCTCTTCTTCATGTGGGTGAAGTCAAACAGATAAAAATATATATGTACTTGTTTTTTTTTTTTTATTTTCGTGGAATTTTCCCAACCGAATGAAGGAAGTTTTAGAAATGCAATGATTTTTGTTCCCCTATCGAAGTAAAAAAGTAAATTTGACGTTTAACTCAAGTCACAGTGTAAGTTAGAAAACTACTTAGATTGAATATATAATCAGTTGTACAGGTGTACAACTCTTTAAAAAACTACTTCATATTAAATACAAGGTTATATGATAATACACTTGAAAAAATCAATGCACGAACTATAGATAGTGCCAGCAAACAAATCACTAATTTTTAATGTTTGATGTTTGTTATATATATATATATATATATATATATATATACATTAGTAAATATGTGTAAGACTGTATGACCATTTCACGCGTTGAAAGTTCGCGCGACTAAACCTATATAAACGTTTGTCTATCACGAAAATTTCTTGCATGCGAGAATAGCATTAGAGGCAATAGTCTACCGCGTACAAAAATGAAATCAAGTCGACTAAAATGCTCAAATGTAACCGTGAAGCTTTTATAGATCTGCTAAAACAACCCGACATTACTGAATATTCAAAACTAGAATTTTTGAAAGGAAAAATTTCTCGAATCAAATATCATAATTAATGCTACAACTGCCAGTGCTTTGCATATACATATTACAGCCAAAACGAATCATTTTGATACCCTTTTTTTGTGAAAGAAGCTGATGTTTGATGCAAATATTCCTTGATCGAGAAGATTAGAAAAAGAGTACCTGGGATCTATCTATGTTTTATCGAATTACTGTTCGATAATGCATTTGCATCTGTTGCGATATTTGAAACCGTACGATATGTGAAACGCCATTCCTGGAACATCGACGGGTGATGATGATAGCCTACGAAAATAGGAACATTCCTGAGCCAACAAGATAATGCTGAGGAATATTTTTTTTACCGGTGGTTTTGTTCACTTTGTCCTTTGTTTGCAACATTTAAAGGGAAGCTTCGGAGGCCCTACAAAGCAAACATGATTTGTGTGGAGTTCCGAAACGGTGCGATCTTGTCCGTCTTTTCGTCTGTCTGCCGGTTGGTCTGTAGTAAATATTCTTTTGCTTCGATAGCAAGTTAAACAAAAACATTTGAAAGTCTTGCACGTAAGTTGGCATTGAAAATTGGCTAAAAGGTACACCGATCATATACTAAGAAGATTCTTGCTGTTTAGGTTGCTTGGTCAGTACTTATAAACCGCAGAAAATACATAACAAGAAGTAAGAAAATTATATTCCGTCCCGACCGAATTTTTATATAACCATCACCTCTATCCGAAGAAGACAAAAAAGGTAGAAGAAAGAATGTTCATAGTTTGTAATATGGAATGAGCAAATGAGATTTTCTTATAACATAATAGTGGCTGCCCAATGTTTCCCATTTTGATACAGATACAAGAATGTATATTCATACATACATTCAATAAAAAAGGAATTTTGTATTCCTTTTGAAAAACAGAGATGGTCTCACACGTCTGACACGTATGTGCATGTCCTCTGGCCGATTTGGTTCGTTCTCAACATTAGTCTGCCTGCAAGAACTTCCAATGTCTCTGCCAAATTTGAAGGCAACATGTATTACACAAACGTCCAGACGGACAGAGGAATAACCGGACAGACTGACATGCTTAAACCGACTCGGAATTTGATGCTGATTAAGAATGTATATAATTTGTGGGGTCTTTGAAGCTTGATCTTGGCCATTGCAAGCTTTCGGGATAACGGTAAAGTGAAGAAAATCAGCCACACCCTTCCAATGTTACAAATGAGTAAAATTTAATTCATTTTACCTATTAATGCTTACCACTAGACCTTTCTTTTGTAAAATTTAATAGTTATCACATACATTACGGGCGCAAATAAATTGTCGGCTTTTTTTTTTTTTGACGTCTAGCTACGATTCCTGTCATCTTATGTTCGAGGTAGTCTACGAATCGCGTGTAGACAAAAACCAAATGACGTGTTGAAACTATCCGCTAATAGCGTTATCATCTCATATTGTTATTATCGTCTTCGCTTTCAGCAAAATATTTATCTTCTTTATCTTGATTAATTTGCTGCAAGTCATCAAATTGTTTTCAAATTTATTATTTCTCTTAAACTGTTTTTTTTCTTTCAATGCTGACGGCTTTTGCTAATTTGGTCCGTTAGATAATTTGGCTTTTAACCATTTATATATATTATATACATATATTAGAAGCGACTCTGTGCTGTGCTTTGCCTTTCAACAGGGAATTTATCTATGTATCGGATTGAAAATCACTGTTACATTATATCAATCCGCGCTTTATATTTCAGAATGAATTATATTCGAATCCATCTTTGCCTATACGAATAAATCGTATTAGAAAAAGAATATGGTTTATAGCCATGTAGCTGCTAAATATATATATTATATCATCAATATGTGTTTATAGTCTATATAAAACTAGAAGTACCGACAAAGTCATTTTGATCATTTTTCATTTCCGATCTTCAAAAATGTAGTCATACTGCACGTAATGGTCCAAAACACTTTGGTGACTTTTACTTGTAGGAAAAAATTCGTGCCTCTGCTAAGGTAGTTGATAATTAAAAGATATTGAAGACATGACAAAAGGATGAAAAGCCACCCAAACGAAAATGCAAAATAAAAACATAGACAAAGGAAACAAAAAGTAAATCATACTTGATGTTATGAAAAAATTTAAAAAAAAGACAATTTTTGTTACTATTTATCATACAGTGATTGGCGAAAATTTACGATATATATAGAGTGTGTTATAAAAAATTTGAACGAATTTATTCAAGTGCAGATTTTTGTTTTTGTGTTAAAAAACGCTGAAACCTATCAGAAAAACCCAATTTCATTGCTAGTCTATCTCATCGCCAAAATCGCTCCATATATGTTCTCAGTGCGTAATCTTTACATCAGTGTATCTCGCAAAATATCAGTAATTATACTCATTTTAATTTTTTAGTTCTTTTGCTCTCATAGTGTTTTTTTATATCGTGGCCTTTTTCCATGCATATAGAGGCTTTTGATTTACATTAATTAGTTGAAGAAGTTGACAATTCAAACAGCAGCAAGCAGATAAACGATAAAGAACGAATTGATTAAGAGATTTTTATTTCTATTATTTATTTATTTATTTTTTTTTTTTTCATATTAGACTTTGTCTTCTTCGGGCGTAGATGGCTTGGCAAGCGAGACAAAATCAAGCCATTCAAGTAATATTCGTACCTATTAAGCATTTGTATAAAGTTGTTTATCTTTTCCAGTTATTCCATCAGGGTTGGCTCTTTAATCGAACTTTACAAAAGCATTTAGTTACTCCACTGACCTTATGCGTCATCTGTAAAGTAAGTAATTAATTTAAATAGACGCTACGAGAGAATTCGTTTGATAGATAAGCAAAAGAGACTTATTGATAATCGCAATTTTCTTTCAGAAATGTACGTACGATACGGTATACATTTTATATTTTTGGCATACTATTTTCGTGAAACGTTAGAAAAATGCATTCAGTGACACATCAATAATCTCCTCTTTCTTTAAATTCGAAAAGAATAAAAGCGCTTTTTGAATTCATACGATTCGTAAGTTCCAGAGAAAGATGTACGATTGCTTTTGAACACCCTGTGTGAAATGATGATCATCTGCGTTCTCAAATGCACAATATGGGAATTTGAAAACTGACGCTTCCCCTTCCACATATAATTGATGATGCAAGTTGTCAATAAGCGATATTAGAAATGAATATATATATTGTATGCAAGATATATGTATATTCATGTATGTACTGCACATCATATTATGAGATCACTACAATATTCTAGAAGGCGACTATAGCAGGTCCAAAATATTTTTTTGGATATGGAGGGTGTAACTCCAGACAATTTTCCGCTGATAACTCCCTTAATAATTACGAGTACAAGCTTAACTCAATATCTGTAATCGATTTTTACTCATTTAATCAGATATCTTCTTAAAATCTCATCTGTGTTTATAAAATAATTTATAGAAAAATCACCATCCGGTTTATGAGATTTATAAATTTTATTTGTTTTCGTTTTCTTTTCCAAATAATAGGCCTTCTTAAATGATTTACACGTTAGCTTTTATTTTTTCATATTACAATCAAATTATAAAAAACGAGAGGAAAAAATAAGAATTAAAGAACAAATTAATTCTAGATTATTCAAGAGAAATAAAAATAAAACTTTTAACTTTTTGCTTACGATTTTACTTTCTATAAAAACTACATTTTGAAAATGTGTCAAAAAATTGTTTTTTAAAAGAACCTATAAACTCAATGAATTCTTTCATTAAAGAAAAACTTCACTTATAATTAATTATGTTATTGTACGTCAGTGGTGAAGTACAAGTATTTAAGTGGTGCTAGCTTTAAATGACTCTTCTGCCAAATCGTTTATATTTCTCTTCATCTCGTTCAGGGTCTCATTAATTATGCTATCTACGATTGCATTGGTGGGGTTGTCATCGCTGCGAGAGTCTAGTAAATATACATAAGCAACAAGGAATAAATAAAATACTTTGAATTTTTTTTTTTTTTTTGCAATTAAACTACTAACCATCCACAAACAGTTTCATAGGTATATCGCCAAAGCTATCTTCAATGACAGATTTCTTATTGTCTATCATATCTGTATTATCGTTTTTGCTATTTCCTGTTCTATTTTGTTTGTCCGGTAGAAAATCTTGCGTGGAACTTAAAGCGTCGTTAAATAACTCAATCGGTGAACTTTTTCGGCTGCTTAAAGCATTCAAATTATTTGACTCCAAGTCAACGTCTAATTTTTCCGTTTGATCTTGCGCTGATTCAAAACTGTCTGTGGTCTCACCAGTATTGTGCAATTCTGGCTGCGTTTCTATCGTTTTTGTAGTTGAATCGATATTTGCTGCTATTGGGGAATTGACAGGTGTTTCATTGTTAGCCTTCTCAATAATGGCACTATTACCATCATCTAAAGTAGTATTAAGACCAGCATATGATGAACGCCGTTGAGGCACCTCAGTAGGCACTAAAATACATTTATTGTGATTTTTACTACTTTTTTTTTTTTTTTTCTAATAGATTTAATAAAGATATGGACTTACTTACCTATGTACTCACAATCATCATCTTCATCATCATCTTCTTCATCCAAATTAATCCGTCTTAATCCACTGGGCGGTAACTTTTCGTTGGCCAATTTTAATTGTTCTTTACGAGGACTAGGGGTACCGTCATCTTTAAGAGGACTTAAAGTTTTGTGTTCACGTTTTTTACGCCCTGGTGTCATAAACGGAGTACTAGTGCATAAATTATTTGGATCTACGAATAGCGTAGGATCTAATTCGATGTCGTCTATTACTTTACCGTTTTCCACCTTTTTTAGACGAGCCGGCATAACTAGGGGCGTGCTATTATTATTTGCACCGGCTTTGTCGAAAATTTTTAAATTAGCATAGAAATCTTCATCAGAACAATAGTCTTCTGAATCAGAACTATCACCAAACACTTCAACTTGTTCACGGAAAGATACTGAAAGATTTTTTGATTTGTTACGTTTGGCTTGCAACTTACGGGCACGAGCGTTCGACTCGAAAGTTAATAATAAAGGATGATTGCAACGCTCAATTTTTACGTAAGCGTTGAAAACACGCTTTCCATAAGTTTTGATTAGCTGGGTGCGTGTAAACTTGCTGGTGGGTTTAGAGATGGATGTCTTAGATAAATTAGTGCCTATGGCTGCATTCAATTTGAGAGTTCTTTTCTTTTTCTCTTTCGCTTTTTTATTGGAAAGCGATGGTGATAATTTTATAAAAAATCCGGTTTTAGACAATTTTTGTGGAGTTTTTGTCGTTTCTATAATAGCTTGACGGGCTCTTTTAGTTTGCGAAGAATCATATTGCTTGGTTGGCGAATTCTCAGTTGGCTTTTTTTTCAGATTTTTAGTTTGACCTTTGGAGGGCTTCGGTTTCTCAACTTTGCTTAGCAACACTTTACGATCTAACTCCGCCTGCAGCTTCTTAACATTAACTTTTTGTAAGCGTACTAAGCAACGTTTAATTTTCATACTCCGGATTTTCTGAGCTTTATCCATAACCATCGGTTCAAACAATTTTTGTTGAGCTTTGGTTGGGGTCGTTTTTGTAGTTTTAGCACTCTCTTTTGTTTTTTCTTGTTTTAATCGCAAACTCCTCACATGCTCCTCGAGAGGTTGTGCTAAAAATTTTTCCAAATTTTTGCGTTCCAATCGCACTTTAAGTGATTTGACCGGTGCGTTATTAACCAAAACAATTTTGGGTGGAGACATACTACGCGACTTATTCGATTTATATTTCGTAACATTAACGGATACGGGTGGAGGCATAGACTTTCGCCGATTTTTGGCTTTACATATATCATGTTCATTATTCAGTTTATCTATTTCTATCGTATCGTTTACTGAATTATTTGAAACTTTTTCTACCTCAGGTTTTTTGTTGTTAACATTAATTGTAGGCGGTGGTGTCCTCTTAACCGGGCCAGCGTTTTTTAGTTGATCAAATAAATCATCACCCATTTTGTCAAGTATATTAATCCAATTGCAGTTCGTTTCCGAGTCTATATGCGTTTACCTGGTAAAAAGGCTTAATTTTTATATACTAAAATAATAACATATTTCACTTATTTACATCTGTGTATATAAATAGATATATATAATTATATATAAATATATATATATAAATATATATATTCACGCTTTATAACGTTAGATTTGCTAAAGCTTACTTTCGAAATAAAACGATTTTATGATTCCTTACAATGCATTTAAGATTGTTGCTCTTTTCTAAAAATTCCGCCATCAGCGTCTCTTTTCATTTATTCCTCTTATTTTTTGGTTCGCCTTTTTGTAACTTTTTTTACATAGAAAAAATAAATATCCTCGCAACGTGATTTTTTAATTAAATTCTTATTGTGTTTTTTTTTTTGTTGATTGCTCTTAAAAAATACAAATATATTAGTTTCAATTACATTTTTCTTAACAAAATATATTAAATTGAGACGCCACCGAAAAAATTATTTCACCGTTTTCCTTATAAAAAAAATTCCTTACGTTCTGGCTTTTGTTCGAAATTCACCAAATTAGCACAGGGTTGTTTTTTCTTTTCGGGTTATTTAGAACTGCCAAATGCATCCAAAATGACAATATTCTAATGTATGAAAATATCCGTAAGTATTGTTTACTTTAAAGAATGATAAATTGATTATTAAAAAGCTCGGCAACTCTGGTAACGGTAAAATTTATAACACACTAAATTCACTATTTAAGTAAAATTAAAATTATATGTGATTTAAGAATAACAACACAATATAATTCATATCAGTTATAAAAAAACATTTTTAAATTGCCTACAATCAATTTTGAAGGTGAGTAATTAAGCTAACAGGCATCTAACTGCATCCATGTGATTCAGTGAATAAATACATGGATTTTCAGAACCAAAAAGCAATGTAAAAATGGCGCACTACAATTAATGTTGCTTTGTAAAGAAAACGAAATCTGTAATAAAGTAAGAACTTTATTTAAAAGTGAACTTATTTATGAAAATCATTACATCAATAAATACAAGCAAAACGTAATAGGTTGATTGAGTAATAACAATTGTGTGTGCGATAGGATGTCTGATTGATTCGTTGATACGAGGAATAAAAACATTGCCTCATATTTAATGCGTGTAACGAAAGCAAAGAAGTAAAGAAAAGACTAAGTAGGGTGTGCGAAAAAGTACAAAAATTCTATTTATTTATTTTTTCATTTTTTTAATCTGTTTACTTAAGATTTGCGCATCTTCTTTTCATAGAAGAAAGCGAATATTATGTTGGAAAGTTGTAAGCGAATACCGAGTACATATAACAATTTTATAATCTCTTCAATTGATTTATTATTTATGATCGCTTTTTTTTTTTTTTTGTTTTTCTTTAAATGGAAGTATATATTTTTAAAATTTTGAAACACTAGCCGGGGTATCCATAACAGTTGCTTTTGTCTTAGCTAGTATGCTAATGGTGCTGTCGTTATCGAAATAACCGTAAATATTTGTGGCTTTGCCATCATTTGGAACGGAGCAACTAGACATCGGCAATTTTTTCTTCTTCAATTTTGTTTTCGCTTTGCGTGTTAATGAAGTTTTACTCGCAGGTGCATCTAAATTGCTCAATTTGGAAACTTTATGCGTGTCGATAGTTGTGGCATTTTGCTTAACTGCTGTTCCTAAAGGCGCATCTTTTTTTTGTAATTTTTGTTTTTTCGCGTTCGTTACACTCCGACCGGTAACAGTTGTCTTAACATCAGCTGTTTTGGCTGCTTTCTTGTAATGCGATTTCATCTGACTGACTTTTTGTGAAAGCTGCTGTGATGGCGGCGAACGAAGTGAACTGCGTGTCTTGCTTTTTGTGCTGCCTGCGGTTTTAGTTATGGACGATTTTTTTACGGCAGGCTTGCTATATAAGCGTACAGAGAAAGAAAATAGAATGCATAAACATTTTTTTTTTTTGGGTTATGGCATCAAAGTTTCTTACTTTTGGGATTTCCCTTCTTTTGTTTCATACGGGCTTTCTATTTTACTTGAATCCAATTTTTGCAATCCTTTGCTATTTACTAATTGTCTAAATATACACATTGTACGTTTCTCATCGATAGTCGATACTACGGTTTCCAAAGGTATTTTCGACTTTGTCAAACAATTTCCATCCCTTTCCTGAGATGGATTGCTCGTTTTCCAAGCAATTAATTTCCTGGAGCAAGCTCTGCAATGTGGATTATACATAAACAATTTAATTTTATTTTTCAGTTTTAACAAAAGACTTACGCTAGAAACTCTTTAGTATCTGGCGGCAGATTTGCAGTAAGGGAAGCATTTGATAAAAGATCCCCCGAGTTAGTTTTCATTATGTTTGTGCTTTTTGTCTTATTTTCAAATTTGGCGGAAGTTGATTCTCGACCCAGGTTTTTAGTTCTGTCGACCATCAATAGTCCGCTATCGGGCTGTATACCGGCCCAAATTTTCTTTTTTATTTGTAGTGCAATATTTAAATCTTCCGGATTAAGCTCTGTCCTCTTCGTGCTTAATACGTGAAATGGATGATGATGGGACCTTGCCATGATGAAATAATAATAAGGATTAAGAGCAGAGAATGCACAATTATAATTTTGATAAGAAATTAAATATTGAAACAATTTACAAAATTATTTATAAAAACAATTCTTTAACAATCATTTCTATGTATATGCATCAATCAAAATTGAGAGTACAAATTTTTATTTTTTTTAATATAGATTAAAAAGTAAAAACATACTTGTTATAAGAATCATTTTCTGGCAAACTATGATTCGAGTTTACGTGTCTAGCCCGTTCAATGTTCGGTAGGACCACTCTCGTTAATCGTGATGATGAATTTCCCATTTTATATCTAACAGAAAGTGGACTGGAAGGTGAAGTTATTATTAGTTCCGGTGGCATAGTACGAAGGCCGTCTCCAATTTCTTCAATATAACGGCGCTGCAATTCGCTTTGTAATAAATTTTTTCTCATTCGGGGTAAAGTATCGCGGCATACATTATTCCCATTGTCAATTACGAACTCATCGTCTGTAGAAAAAATTAAATCCGAACCCGGATCTGTTGTTGGTATGTCCATAGTCTGACGATCATCCTTTTTATAATTACTGTTACTATTATTATTGCTATTATTGTTATTGGTGTTATTATTATTATTGGTATTATTATTATTATTCAAATTATTAAAGCTTTCGTTGTATTTATTCATCATTCGAATGTGTTTCCATTGTAATTTTAATTTACGGGGCTGTTCGAAGAACATAAAAATTTAATTAAATGTATATAGATGCACATATTTATATATAAATCTAATCAGATAACATATATATGTATGAGTATATATCGCGTAAGCAAAGAAAAAAAAAACAAATGCTGATATTTCTTGTGAATTTTCTGAATTTTTAAAATGGGTAAGATTGTACCGCTCAGAGGCTAAAACAAAATTGAAATATGTCCAAGTATTGAGTGTAAAAGAATTTTTAAAAACTTTTTTAAGATAAATTTTACAATTTGTTTTAGTTTGCACAAATATCAGCGAATTCTTTTTTCTCTATGTAATAATGTCTATGATATTCTTGAAAGTTTTTGGCTGCATAATAATAAGAGCATATCAATACAATGGAAAGATCAATCTAATCTTACAACAAAATATCCAAGTATCTTAAAAAGTTTTTCAAGTAAACTATAACTAACTGCACTTTCTTTATATAAATATTTATTGAGCTAAATATGTAGATAATATTAGATAGATAGATAAAAATGTAGAAGTATGAAGAGAACGAGTTCGTTATTGTTATAAAATATACATTTAATTTTTTTAGTGTATCTATTATCCTCCTTTCGTTTGAAAAATCAACTCTGTCGTATATGATGCGTTTATTTAATTGACATATTGTAATACCTATATGGCTCTCGATATTGAATTTGTTTTATAAAATAAATTGAAAGAAATTTACAAAATTGCATTTTAAACACGTCAGTCGCAAGCCTTCGATAGCTCAGTTGGTAGAGCGGTGGACTGTAGAAGTTGCATGGCAGTAAGCTGATAGTTATCCATAGGTCGCTGGTTCAAATCCGGCTCGAAGGAGTTTGTTTTTTTTTTTTTTTTGCTTTCTTTTTTCAATTTTTAAAACATTTAAATATATTTTATAGCATGACATGCATACATACATACATGTTACCACTACCAGTTAATACAACCACTATTAATAATATATTTTTGATAATTCCTATGTCTTGGCTTTTTATTAAATGGTGAGTATTGAAAATTCTCATCGAATTTGAATCATTTTACTCATAAATGATATCTCTTAAATTCTGTATAGTCTACTACTCTGCAAAACTAACAACAAACACATTTGCAACTTGTAACTTCTTTCCTTGTAGAGTTTGCACCATGTTAATTTCTACTCAGAATATACCGTGTTATAGAAATTAATGCATTAAAATCTACTTGAATGCGTGTGCATGTGCAAACGTACCTATGTGTGTATGTATTTTTGGGCAGTTTGCGATCCTTTGCACATTTGCTCGATTATCGATGAAATTCTTAATCTTCATTACTGATTTAATGATATTTACGCGGGAGCTCAAAGACTGTTTTAAGTAAAAGTGAAAAAAGAAAGGCTAACCTTGCGAAAACTTTATATTAAAGTACCTTATAGTAAGAAGCTTAAAGCAGTTGTTTGTCAACGAGTAACTAGGCATATTTGACATGCCGCCAACATTTTAACTCAAAAGAAGAATTGCATTTTTTTCTTCTGATTGACCATTTGCACGGTCGGTTTTGGACCGAAATTTTTGGACTTTCGTTTATAGTATAACTGTTTTTAATCAGTTGGAGTGGATTCTTCTTGTAGTCTTGTTTTAAAAGCTTTAGACCAACGTCCGTTTAGAGTTTGTATGCGAGTTCTCTAATTACTGTGAGATCGCAGTTATTGTCAGCTCATGCTTAGCTTTTTTTCATCTTACATATGATCTTTAAAGGCTATAAATATAAAAATGCGAAACTTAACGTTTCCTTTATTATATACTCGTAAGAACACCAACGACAAACGACAGACCAATAATCATACAAATGAAAGGACAATTTTGTTATCTGCGCTGATGGGAATAAAAACTTAAATTTCATGCTCTCTCTCTTCATCATAACTAGCGGTTCGAGTTGTTGAATCTAATTAAAAATTTTTGAAATAACTTATCGGCCTATTAGCAAAATCAGGAGAAGACAAAAAGAAAATCTGAAGTAATTTTAACATAAAAGAAAGCAAATGCTATCCGTATACTATACACTGTAAATGAAGCAGATTTTAAACCTAAACATGGATTATCAAAGCAAGAAACAATTGTACGTTGATTGTTCCGATTCCGTGAAAGGAAGCTCCTATACATGTTCATAATAAAAAGTTGATACACTATGCTCGTTAATATGATAAGAAAGGGAATGACAGGAATAATATTTCGGTAATAACTTCTGGCTTGTTACATATTTAACACAATCATGTAACAGAGAATTTGCACGAATTGAAATAGAAGAAAATTGCCGATATTGTCTTCTTCTTGCCCGTATTCTATACGTTAATGTAAATGAATTTTTCTTTCGCTCTGTAAGAGAGTCATCGACCGAGTGCTAGGTGTAAGAAGCTGAATAAAAATTTTTATCTCAAAGTAGCAAATTTTTTTCTCTCTTTTTTAGGTTTGATTTACAAATAGTCAGCTTGAGATTTCATAAATTAATTTACTATCAAAAAGGAGGCTTAAGCGCCACGTTCAATTTGACTTTCCGATTGTGCATCGTTTAAGTCGGCATACTGTACATATGCGTATGAAGTGCAACTTCTTCAAAAATTCATTTAAAATATCCTTTACCTCGCAGACAAGTCGATTATTGATTGAGTATGCAGTGAGGTGAACCGCAAAAATTTTTGCATAAAACCCGATAAATATTATAATATTAAATTTCAGTTCGCTAAAGTGAGCCATATTTTTCAACTATTTGCACATCTTTACACTTTAATGCGAGTTCGCAAGGTTAAGATGATATGACTCACGCCATCTGTAAAATTTCAGATTTTTTTTAAACTTTCAAAATTTTAACATTCGTCGTGTAGGTGGTCTTGTTTAACCTATTTCTAGGCGATTTTGGGTGTTTGTTGGCCAATCCAGATTCTCGTTTTTCTCTAGTTTCTCTATTTGCAAGAGGGTTGACCCACCTCCTTTTCCGTATAAAATTTTTTATTCTCTTCTTCGAAGTTGTTTTTGTTTTTATGATTACATATATAGAGGCTAGCTGTGTGTGTGTGTGTATGTGTATGTGTATCTTTTCATGTACAGGTTCACAATTTCTGATTTGCTCAGAGCAAAAAATCTGTCACTTCTTAAAGAAACCAATTTGCTACTAAGAGTACACAAAAAAAAAAAAGGCTTTTGGCATACTTTCAGTTTATATGCAATGTTTGTATTGTCTGCCAAAAGATTATATATATAATATATATATTACATTATAATAGAAGCGTTCTAACATATCTAGCTGAGCTCCTGTTCGTGCTCTAGTGCTCTAGTGCATGTTTTTAGCACTTTTTATAAAAGAAATTGTAAGAAAATCATGTTGAATTTTCTTCGTGTCACGGTATTTGACATTTGCTACTTAATGCTTTGCCCATATATGCGTGTAAACATCTGTTTGTGTGTCCGTAGGGTTGCTTCAGTTGTTTTGTTTTACTGCCACATCCGAATTGCTGGCATTCTATTATAATCGTATATAGAAAAAGAAAAGAAAAAAAAAAAAATGTCACTGTCAATGCCAAACTATGAACACACATTGAATGAGTGAAACAGGTAAAAACAAATCAAGGCCCTGATTATATGTAAAAAAGAAATGTGCTAAAAGAATTTATTTCACCAACACCCGGAGAATGAAGGTATATTGATTATTGTCATATCGCTTGCGCTATATTAAACAAAATGTTTGAAACAATGAAATACAGCCACATATAAATGATCAGATTCGACGAATAAGGCAAACAAAAACTTTCAATATATATATCTATACATCATCGAGTATATGCATAAAATATGAGAAATTTTTTTGGAATATGGACATAAGAAATTTTCGATCGCCTCATAATGATTAAACGTGATGCGTTGATGCGTTGATGCGTTCGATGAGCTTCGAAAGTTCAGAATTGCACAAAAAAAAAAATAAATAAATTTTGTACTTTTGGTACTTCATCCTAAAGTGTAATGCATCATGCCTCTGTCACTTTATATATATTAGATTAAGTTTTGTTTAAAGTCAAGAACAGTCGAATAGCATTTGCTTGCAAATATTATAAAATCTATGCTCTTCAGAGTATTACCATTTCCTATGTAAAAGCTTTTCACATATTTTCACATTCTATTTCGAAAAATCAGATCAAAAACTCAATTTTGCTATATCTCTCTGACCGAGAAACAACTCTGAACTGAAACTTTACATACATCATCTATTGTGCTATTGTGCAAATCATTTTCTAGTATGGCTCAGGGGAAAAGTTCCGCGTATTTTCACATCAATAATTTCCCATTTATATTAGGTAAGACTTCGATGGGTGGAGGAATTTGTCTCGAACAGTTCATTATATTAGGGTTATAGAAAAATGAAAGAAGAAAATGGACTCGACCCTCTCACCTATTCGTTTTGTTTTAGCTAAAGCAAATAATGCGACAGCATCTTAAATTGATTTACTCCCGGAAATATTCACATGTCTCATAATCCAAATGCTACGGAGAGGTGTGTTATATAGCCTTGTTCTGCTTTAATTCTATCTGCATCCTTCGCTGATGAAAAGTATGAAGATGATGGCTCGATATAAGCTAGAAATCTATGGCCAGCTAAGACAATATAGATTGCAATTTATTGAATATTGCGTAACTTATAACAACAGAACGTCTGTCCAAAGTTTTGCTAGAGAAAAACAGTGTACGATAGACAAGAAAGATACGATCTCGCATTTTAGGTTGATGGTAATCGATTGCTTTCGTATCGAATTGGCCTTCGCGCTCGTTACATACTATATGTATACAACGGAATATTTTTGATTTTATCGCGTGTTTATGACAAAGCGACGCTATTGAGTATCATCAACTTAATATGCAAGCTCGTTATAGGATTTGCTCAAATAAGGAGAGCTGTGAACCGAGCCCAGTTCAGTTAAATAATTGCTTGCAAAAAAAAAAAAAATAAACATTTTAAATAATAATAAATCTCTAATGTATAAAATAATAATCCCACATGT